GAGTACAACAAAAGTAAAACATACGAGTAGAGGTAAATTAAACAAAAATAATTACAGCTTGTCTCTTCACAAGTTGTGTGTATCTTCAGAAGCTGGGTTGTGTTTTTTTTTTTTTTCTCTCTTTAGTGACTGCTTTAAAAAAAAGAGACACATTTTGCAGTTTGAGGCATACAAAATGACTACTAGAAGCCGTTCCGAGACTACGAGTTATTGTGGAAGAAAGTTGAGGATATTGCAGTGGAACAATGAAAAAAAAAAGTAGACAATAAACCCAAAGCTGATAGAAAAGAAGGAAAGAGAGAATTAAGGCTAGAACTGGAAAGTGATTTTTCTTTACCTGAAGGAAAAGCACTTTTTAATTTTATTTTTATATATTAGGCAATGGGGTAATCTTTAGTGAGGTATATGAATAACAAATGTGGTTCATGGTGAGGAAAGCAGGAAAATTGATCTTAGTAGCAGTTCAGAGTTTCTGTTTCAGAAGGAAGTAGAAGGTATCTGGTAGATGCTACTGAAAGTGCAGTGCTGCAACACCAGGAAACTTGGAAGTAATAACTTTGCGAGGGCGCAAGGAAAGAAGGGCAGGACTCCAGGCTACTGCACTCAAACTAGAAAGGTTGCAACAAACGGATTATTTGCCTGCTCTCTTTCCCCATCCCCCATGCTGCAATTGCCTTCTGTTGCATCTGACATCTCTCATGTTACTTGTGACATACATGGAAGATTTCCATGGTAATAGGAACATGCTGTGAAACTCATACTTTCACCATCTGTGTACTGGAGAAGCAACGTGGTCCAGGGAACTGAGCATATGTTCAGTATGGAGGTATTTAGCTTTACCCAGTGTATATATTTTGCCAATTTTGAGCTTATTTTCTCCACTTCATCATCAATAAGGTAGCTGTTATATTACCATGAAGTTTGGGTGGTTTATTATTTAGTAGTTGAATAACATTGAGATTAACTTGGATGTGGGAGTGGGGGTTGAGTTGCCTTATGTTCCAAACCAGTCCACATTCAGGTCTCTGTCTACTTCTATGAAAATACATTGCATTTAGGTTTTATCCTGCCATAGAGAAATCACACAGATTTACCAGGAAACTTTATTTTCTCTTCTGTTAGCATAAACCAGCCTGGACAGTGATTCTCCGTCATACTTTTAGCCCCATACTTCCCCCTCTGGGGAGAGCTGTGGCTGCATCCCCTGACACTGTGTGTCTGTTGATGTTCAGTGGAGAGGGCTTTATATTGCAAACTGGTTTTGAGGTACTCGCTGTGTTTAGTTAACTCTCTGAATTCTCTCTCTTCTGTTTTTCAAAGGTGTCAATACAAAAGTAATTTCTTCTATTTTAGTTAACAGTTGTGCTCTGGCTGTTCACTGTGGTGAAGGGCAGGACAGCAAGGTAAAAACTACAATAATCAGCTCTCTTACACAGGAGAGCTGCTGGACTAGCGGTTGTTTCAGGTGTCTTACTGTTTGTAGAACATTGCTTATTTAGGATATTTTTGCCTGAGACTTATAATTGCTGAGCTGAGAATGAAGAAAAGCATGAGACTGAATAAATAGTTTAGAACATGCAAATGAAAGAGGATTCTTATGTGTGCAGTTAGCATGGATCCTATCCCATGTGGCTAAACCTTCTGATAAGAGTTGGAAAAATTGCATTAGCTTAATTATGTTTGGTCACTGGGCCAAATGGTTTAGAAATGAACATGTACGCCCTGTCGGAGGAAGAGGACGTTGTTATAATTAGACCTTGGGCAAAGTTCCAGACCATGACTCCTGACCTGAGCCGAACTGCAGATGCGGCTGGGAAGCAGAAGGGGGATTGCTGAGAGGAGTGGGTGTGTGGTTAGCTGCTGAAATGACAGCAACTTGTTTGTGTTGGGCAAAAGGGTAAAACAGTGCAACTGAGAAGATCTGTGGGAGGGAGTTATGTGTAATAGTGGGATTCTCTCAAGAGAGTGATTTCCTATTGATTCTCACTGGTATATATAGAAGTAGATAATTTACTTGAAGGAAGTTGAAAGGCAATAGAGCTTTTATTAGAATAAAAAAACCCCCACCTTATTTTTATATATTTTTCTGACAGCTTTGTTATCAATTACCACTCAGAAAAATGAGTTATGTTCTTCATTTTCCTTGTTGTTTCTTCCTCCTCCTCCACATTGTCCTTTGCAAGCACATTCGACCTAGATTTGGTTCTTCAGAAAGAAAAGGCAAAAGAGAAAGAAAAGGAAAATATTAATTTGAAGGCTATTAGAAAGTATTTATTTTGTTTAAAACTATGTCTACCAAAAAGATCAGGGAGTTGTAATTAGTTCTTAAATAGCATAAACACTGCAACTTAAGTAAATGCATCTCAGCATCCTGTGACAGACTTAATCTTTAGGAAGACAGTTCTCCCACTTAGAAATATAATTCACTTATTCAATTGTTTTTATTTTAAAAGCATCTAGACACCTTACCTATCTACAATTATAGTGTTGTATCAATACAAAAAAGCCTTTTTACCCCTTTGCGTCAGTAGGAGTTTACTGCTTGCTGTTTATAGATGGACCTGGAAGATGTCAGTGTTAAGAGTAGGAGATGTGCAATGGAATGATGCTTTGTGCAAGTGCGGTAATACAAGATTACTGTTTGTATAAGCTCTGCATGTTTTTGCAGTATAGTAAAAGCTTGAGTAGCTTTGCTGAGTTTCTCAAATATGTATCTCAAGGAATAGAAGCTGATTTTGCAAAAACAATACAGGAACAAGCACTAGCTTGTGTGTTTTCAGCGTTATGGATGAAAGAGGCCTGGAGACTGACTGATCATCTCGTAGGTGAACCTGTTTAAGATGAAAGCTGAGTGGTGAAATGTCACTACAGGATGACCTCTGATGCCCTGGCCAGGGCATTACCTATCCTGTAAAAAGTGTCGGCCTTCATATCCATTCACATAGTATTCATTTCCTGGGAAGGTTCCTCTTTTGGAGGAATGCTTAGCACATTCTTTACCAGAACTCATAAAGGAAAATGTTATGGTCCTATCGCTTCAATATCTGAGCCAATTTTTCCAAGGAAAATTCATTGTCCGTGCCTCAGAGAATGCTGGTCCTTTGATGCTGAGTGGGGAAGCCTTTGGACAGGGCATCAGAACTTTTGGTTGCAAATGTATGTAAATCGAGTTTGTCTCATTGATTATAGTTCTTCCTAAAACAAAATTTTGTCAAACTAGTGGGTTCTAATCTCATCCGTGACTAGATTATCATGAAGGACATAGCACTCAGAGTGTATCTCCTACTGAAAACCAAATGTTCTTACGAATGTGCCTCTGAAGCCAGCATTACCCTTCCTTAAGGACCCCTGCTGAGACATACCACCCCTTGCAGGGTTGGCCTGGGGAGCAAAGGAAAGTGGGCATGACAGAAGATAGTGCTTGGTACCAGCTCACTTTCAGCTGCATAAGAGTTGCAGCTGATGCACCTCCAGTGCAGAAGAGAAGGTGCTAGAGAGATCAGTGTCAGCCCGGAGTAGGGCAGTGATTCCTGCCAAGCCCATGGGGCACAAGGGTGGAGGTTTGTTTGTTTCGGGTTTTTTGTTTGTTTTGGGTTTTTGTTTGTTTTTTTGTTTGTTTTGGGGTTTTTTGTTTGTTTTGGGTTTTATTGCTTAGTGGGTTTTTTTGTAAGCAAGTGTGCTTATTTCTACACAAAAAGTCCCTGGTGAGCTTCTGGCTGTGAGCAGTATGTTAAGCCCCACTATGCAACTGCTGTCCTAAAGGTGCTTTTCCTAGCACAGCTACTTAGTTGCTATGAGGGCTCAAAGCAGCCTTGTTCTGGCAAGCAAACAGACCACAGCACTGTGGGGTAGGTTGGGGCAGCAGCTGCTCTGATGACAAAGTTCAACTGTGTTGCTGCTGATGCAGCATTCAGCATCCTGTGGTTCAGTTCACCTGCCACCTCCCTCCTGGCTCCCCTGCCCAGTGCCAGGGGAGCCGAGTTCCACAACAGGCTTCAATTATTTACTCTCTGGAGATGTGACTTATTCTGCAGATCAAGTGAAAAAGTGAAGTCCTTTAAAAAAATATAACACAAATAAGCCCCTGAGTTGTCAAACAACAAGTCCCTTAAAAGGGCAAAATATGCGGCTCTTTGTGGACTGCACAGATCCCTCCTTTCAAACTGCTGGCAGGAGGCTTCCTGTTTGGATGGGCCGCTCGCAAATGGTGTTGGGTGGTGAAATCAGTCACTTCCCAGCTCCTCCTTCAGGCCTCCTTTTGCCTCCCTTTACGCTCCTGACACCAAGGCCCCTTCAAGCCTGGGTCCTGTCAAGACAGGATCTGGCAGCTCAAACGTTAATCTGAAAGCGTGCATTAGCACAGGGCATTTTCTCCCCTGGACACATTAAGCAGCCCAAATAGTTACGTGTGTTTGAAAGCGGGATAGACAAAATGGTCCTATTGCTATAGTCCTGGCCAGAAAGGGCTATGTGAGGTTAATGGTCTGGCTCTAGAATGGTAGAAAATGGTTTTCTGCTTCATTGTTTCATTGATCAGATGGAGTACCATTTTGAGGACTCTTCCACTTATTCTGGGTGAATTCTCCAGTATGCACTTTTTGCTTCCAATACTTTGGTTCCTTTACTGTAGCAGTGAGAGAAAGGCCAATAGTGGCATTCAGTGACAGCATTCAACCTTGGCTGCTGAGCATTGCTGATAAACCTAACTGCTGTGAAACCCTCCATCAAGTTTGTAAAACCTTTTCAGAAACACTGGCAGAAGTGATTCTACACTGCCATTAAACATGTTAATACCATGTTTAAGCTTAGCTACCTTGTCTAGCTTGAGTGCTTATTTTGCTCTTTTTTTTGGTCTCAGATCCTCCTGTCCTCTTCCAGCTGCTACACCGGTGATAACCATTGATAACCTCTGTAACTAGAGAGCTGCACCACAGATCCAACAACCTTGCTTATTATTTAATATCTGTTGGTTTTGTTTTGTTTTTTTCTTCCTGCAGAACATGATCAGAAGATAGCATCATACACCATGATCATGGCCCCCCGGAAGAGGAATCGTCATGCGTTGGGGTTTCTTTGTTGTTTTGGGGGCAGCGACCTCCCTGAAATCAACCTCAAGGACAATAACCCCCTCCAATTCCTTGAGTTTTCGGTCCCAATCCCACCTGCAGAAGAGCTCAATGCCAGATTCTCCGAACTTGTGGTAAGTTTCTACTGGCAGATTGATATATTTTAGAGGGTGGATGAACTCCTCCCTTCAAAGGAGGAGTAAGGGGATTTAAGGGACTTACTAGGGATAGGAAAAAATCTTCTGTTGAAGACTTTTTCCCCACACTCTTTTATGACCAGTTCTGTAGTGGGACAAAGGTGGCAAATGACAGGATGGGTGACAGAGACACTGGGTATAAGTACAACAATTTGCTTAGATATGATTATTTATTCTTACAGCACTGTGCAGTTCTCCAGGTGTAGGTTTGGGCATATCAGAAGGAACCTCATGAGTCCTCTAGAGAACAAATCCCTGACAGTCAATTTCTTGTTAACAACTTTGGGATGAAATTTGCTGCATGGTATAGTACAGTGGAAAATCTTAGGTTTTGCAGGTCTATAAAATAAGGACTATACTGTTATCAGTAACACACTGCTAGTGAAGTATAAGAATCAGGTGACCATGCTAATTAAGTTTCATCAGCCATCTGCCTTTGAACCATGAAGTGGTGCTTTTCCAGCAACAAACAGGAAGGGAAGCAGTTATTTCAGATTAACTTAGTAATTTGTTTTTGTGGTAAACGTTGTGGATTCCAGCAGCAGGCACTTGCTGTTCATGCCTGGCATCAAATGACTTTGCTGTCTTCGCCCTGTTGTTCAGCCCACAAGCAAAACACAGACATGGGCTGAAAGGCTGGGCTTTTTTTGCAATCTGCTTCGTAAAGGTGATGCCCATTTGATCCAGTTGATTAGCTATCTCATTGCCACTCTGAGATCGAGAATTATGTAAAGTCTAAGTGTATATATACCTGAGTGGAAAAGAACAGAAAATATTACATCTCTATTGAATTTGCTAGTAATTCTTCTACATTACACTTCTAACATTAGCCCAGTTAAGTTCTTGTCCAAAGTGCTATAGCAATAAAATAACCGTATAATTTGGTATGCAAGTGAGAGTTAACATATGGGCAACTATAGCGTGTCGTACCAAACATATAGCTTGTACAAACAGCTGTAGTTTTTCTGACAACCTGGCCCAGGTTCCTATTTCAAGACAGGTTGCAAAGTAGGATGCCTAGGGAAGAATATAAGATATGGCCATAGGGTGGTCTTTTTCTAGAATGCTCTCCAACCCTCTACCAATTTTCAGCTCAGCCAAAGTTACTTTCCATGTACATAGTAAATAAGTACGTATTTGTGGAGAAGCACACACGGACTCCGACATGGTGGAAAACGGAATCCGCTTTATTGCAGGCAGGCACATATATTTATACTTATTAGCAAGAAACACTATTTGTGGATTGCAAACCGGAGACCAGACTATGCAGCCAAGGTTGTACTCCTTCAATCACTCTCTTATCACACAGGGAGAACAGACTTTCCTAGGTCTGTTTTGATCATATTCTCCAATTCACTCCCATGTACATCCTGTGTACACGAAGCATCTTATCTGTCCATATTCATGGACGAACTCCCAACATGAGCTGTACTCGGCTGGTCAGGGTCTCTTTTCATTATTAGCAAGCAAGAGTTATGTACTTGGTTAGAAAAGAGCTCAAGGACTAAAGCCTTAATTCTGCAACGCAGTGCTGCCGGCACAGCTAATTGTAAAGTGTAGAGTATTCACATATTTTTTTTTTTCCATTAACTGGTTTTGCCTTCCCTGGCACCCATGACAATTTTTTAGTGTTTGTAGATTTCTGTGCCAGGGCTCTGAGAAGGAGTCAGTAGGATTTGCAGCTGTCTCAGGAAGAATAGAGTATGCAAAAGAAGAGTCCGCTTGCTTTTGACTAAGTAGCAGGTGAGGAATCTCCTCCTATAGAGATACCTCACAAAATCCTAGTCTATGTTTAAGTCACTTTGCCTTTTATGTGGAACTACTTGTATTCTCAGAAAGTGCCACTGGCTGACTGTGGAGAATTCTGCTTGGTGACAGGCATCTCTCATGAGTAAGAGTGTAATCTGTAATCTGCTCTGCTGTCAATTTATTTCTGGATGCTGCTTAAGTATTGGTTTTCACATGCAAAGCTTTCATTGCTGTATCAAAGTTCACCTCTCTCCAATACCAAGATCCGTTGAAGCATTCAATCCAGCCTTCCTGAAGACGTCACCAACAGATGTGTTTTGCTCTTGACCTTGGCTTGCTAAAACTTGAACTTGTTTACCTTTGGGTATAGTGAAAGACCAGTTTTAGTTGCAGCTGGCTTTTGCTTACTGAGAAGAGTATCAGTTTCTATGAGGAGTTTGAGAGCTTTTGGTGGTATTAAGGGTACTTTTAGCTTTTTGTTTTATGCTTGGCAAATACTACTGTTCCATGTGTTTGTGGCAAAACAGCACACAGCTGCCTTATAGAAGTCTATTAAACAGTATGATTTATGTTTTCAGTGCAAAATTTAATGACAAGTATACATGATGATCTGTAAAAAGTTTTGGCCCCAGAAGTTTGTGAGTTGTTAGTCTATGCTATGACTTATTAAATGTGCTGACAGCCTATAACTGGCATATACATTTCAAACAAATGAAGCCATCAAAATGAAAATAGTTCATATTCATGTTCTCCTATTTAACGATAGTACCCTAGCCATTGTTACATGATAAGTGAGCTTGGGAGAGAAAAGTTCTATTTTTTAGTAGGTTAATGGTGTGTTTATGTCACACATTTTTATAAAGGACTCAGATAGGATGATGATGCATGTCTATAGGAGTTCCTGGATAGGCAGGTAACATGGGAGCAGCAAGGGCTTTGTGAGTGAGAGAACCTGGGCTAGAAACTGGGCTGGCAGAATGCAGAATTTGCCTAGAAGGGCTAGTTTGTCCATGGGTCCATATTAATGCATGTTCTACGAGACACTAAAATAAAACAGGCTACATCTGTATTGACAGTTCAGATGAGATTTTAATTGGATTAGAAAGATTCAATCTGTAAATGTGCCAGTGTAAATCAGCGACCTGGAAGTGCCTGAGAGGACTCTGTGCTGTGTACTAGCCTCCCCACTGCTTATCCGTTAGGGTCTAGTCTGCGTGCACTTGTACTATATAAAAACCAGATTTGAGCGTAAAGCCTTTTGACCCAAATCCTCAAGTGAAATGACACCAACATCATCTGAGATCTGTAACTAGAAGAGAATTTGTGTTAGCTCCCTGGGGCAGGCCTGGAGGGGTATAGCCTCATGTTGCCATCTGCTCTACAAAGGGTATAATGAAACACTGGTGTGCTTGAATGAATTTTTAAAAGCCTTATTTTTCCCCTTGTTGTCATTAAAATCTGGGGCATTTTCCCACATAAGAGTTAATGACAATAGGAGCTAAGGCTGGCTGTGCTGAAAAAGCCTCATTTGCAGTGAATTTTCCAGTCTGGTAAATACTCAGTATGTTTCTACCTACCTTTCTGAGGAAAATGGGCATTTTGAGGTCCAAAGCATGTCTTCTCTTGTTCTTGTGGTCCTTAATATAATGAAAAATGAATTTGGAGATGCCCGTTTTGCAACAGGAGGAACTAAGATTGTGTTGGGATCTTTTATTTGTGATGTAGTCACACGACTCCTTCAGGGCTTGCAAACTTGCTTGTTTAGACTCCAGGCTGAGGAAAATATATATGTTTATGGGCTGTTCTCTTTGGGGCTTGCACCTGTATCGACCAAATGAGTAATGGCAGCTGCCTAACTGGACTCTGAAGAAGGCAGTGGTTGTCAAATGACAAATTGATGCTGATTTCAACTAAAATGTCTGTTCTCAATGCTGCTCAATCATAAAAACAGTTCTAGGGTGGATCCCAGACATTTGTGCTACTTAAAGGTGGATGTTATATTTAGGCCTTGTCTCCTTGATTAGAAAATTAAAAGAGACAGGAGTCAAATTCAGGCTTTATGTTTTGGGGAACATGTGCAGGGAGTAAGTCTGAAGGACGACTGTGGCTTAGAGTGATTTGGTCTGATTTTGTTTGGGCTGAGACTAGCTCTCAGGATATCTTCTAGCAATGATTATCCTGGGGCTAATGCAGTGGTAACAGTACAGGTCAGTCCTTATCTGAGGTCTAGATGCACAAGACCCAGACAAATGCTTGCAATCAGAAGTTTTGCCCCTCAAAGGGCCACTTTTGTACACCTCAGTGAATGAGGGCAGAACAGCTGGCTTCAGATCTCTCCTTCAATGAGCAGGCAAGGAGGAGAAGCTCTAGAGACTAGCGTGTATGAAGTGGTCCTGTACCTCATGGTCCTACCTGACTGTCAAGGCTATTCTAGCCAGCATTACTTCTACTTTTTCCTTGTTCTCCCTTAGTTGTCATTGTGTATACTACCATGTAGGAAAGTGCTGCTCCAGTTGGTCTATTCAGCAAGTGCCAAGCTGTTTTTGTGCCTGCTGGCAAAAATGGATGTGCTAAGCACATGTGTTTTTCCTTGTACAGATTTATTAACTGAACAGGAACTGCAGAAGAATTTGGAAGGACTATTGCAAGGCGAGGGGAAATATATTTTTTTCATGAAACAACTTCTCCACGTTCTTGTTCATATTTATTAGCAGTGGTATGTTCTTGTCACAGTAGATTCTGGTTCCTTTTGCTCAGTATTAGACCTGACCTCTTCTTGTTCATTAAGGGTGGTATGCTGCTTGACACTAAAGACTTTGCTTTCTAGATCTCTCTTAAACCGACAACCTGATCCCAGATGTGAACACAGATTAGGCTAAGAAGGGTAACTTAAATGCTGGAAATTCAGGGAAAGCAGCAAAATGTAAAGAATGCTTGCACAGAGGAAAGAGAAATGTAAACACCTTGTGCTTTTGTTGTCTCTCTCCTTCTTCTGTTAGTGGCTCTGTTGAGATGGTCATGGTATTTGAGAAGATGTAGTTCAAGATTGTCTATTTTAGGATGGAAAGTCCATGAGGAAGAAGTGGAATTGTCTTCTGAGTTGCTGTTTTCAAAACTGATCATATCATTACAGTCTCCAAGCTTGAATGATAATATCTGTGTGATCCAGCAGAGGCAGGATGCAGGAA